TTTTTTCAAGCTATTGGTGTTTTTCCTCAGCCCAAAAGAAACAATTCCAGAAACTTCTATCATAAAGTTCAATGCACTGTACTGTTTACATTGCTCACTTGTAAATTCTCCCAAATTCCTACTAGCCTCCAAAACTGTCTTTCTTAACCTGGTTACACCAAGCTACAAAAGTACAAGTTAATCATTAAACCCTTTAAGAATCACAGAATCCCATTGTGTGGAAGCAGGCCACTCAGCCCATCGAGTCCTTCCAAACAGCATCTCACCCAGATCCACCCTTCTACTAATCTCTGTAACCCTACGTTTCTCATGGCTAATCCACCCAGCCTACACATCTCAGGACACTACGGGCAATTCAGCATGGCCAATTCACCTAACCAGAGCACCCGGAGGAAATCCATGCAGACACAGGGAGAGAATGCGCAAAACTCCACACAGACAGTTCGCACAAGGCTGGAATCAAACCCAGGTCCTCCGTGCTGTGAGGCAGCAGTGCTAACCAGTGAGCTGCCCCAGTTCAGAAGCACAGAAAACCCATATGCCACAAGTTCAAATTCAAAAATCCAATCTCAACCATAAATGATATTATCTGCAGTACTGTGATCAGTTTTGGTCTCCATACATAGAAAAGAATGCTCTTGCAATGGAATGTTATAGCAAAGGTTCATTAGGTACAAGGTCCCATCTCTGGGCTGAGGGAGTTGTCTTGTAATGACAAGTTGAGCAAATTGGATACAATTCTCTGGAGATTATAAGAATGGGAGGCAACTTCATTGAAATGTTCAAGATTTTGAAGGGTAGATATTGAGAGATTCCAAATGATTAGAAATTACTTCACTGAGATGGTTGTGAGTCTTTGGAATTTTGTACTCCAGAGAGGTGAAGCTTCTCCATCATCAATATATTTACGGTTGGGATAGACAAATTGGTCTCTGAGAATTAAGGAAGAGGGAATGGGCAGGAAAGTGGAGTTGAAACCCAGGATCTTTCATGGCCATATCAAGTGTTTTGACAGAGTCTGTGGTCTAATACTGCTCCTGTTTTTGTGTTGTGGTTGGGAATCTTTTTTCTTTTAATTTCTACATTGTATTCGGCACTTCGTTGAGCAGATTAAGTCTTTACAAGAACTCAAACTTGCACCGATTTAGTCATGGAGTAAAATTAAGAAAAGTGGAAAATGAAGCGGAAAGAGAGTTGGAGAAGGTGGGAGGGGAAGGGCGGGGTGCATTTGGAGGAAGTTAGAGGCAGAAGAATGAAACTGCCAGATGAGGAATGATGACTGCAGAGAAAAACAACTATCTGACACACACAAAAAAAGACAATTTGAGGGGCAGGGGAGTTAATAACCAGAGGAGACAAACTTCAGAGTTACAACATGGTAAACAAACTCTATTAGGAGAAAGGGAGGTATAGAACTTTCTCTTAGACAGAGTGAGCTGTTGTGATCTGGGATGCACAATCTGAAAAGTCTTTGGAAACAGTTTCAATAGTAAATTCTACCAAATTCCTACTAGCCTCCAAAACTGTCTTTCTCAACCTGTTTACACCAGGCTACAAAAGTACTAGTTAATCATTAAACCCTTTCAGAATCATAGAATCCCTATAGTGTGGAAGCAGGCCACTCAGCCCACTGAGTCCACGCCACCCTTCCAAGCAGCATCACACCCAGATCACCCTTCTACTAATCCCTGTAACCCTACATTTCTCATGGCTAATCCACCCAGCCTACCCATCCCGGGACACTACGGGCAATTCAGCATGGCCAACCCACCTAACCAGAGCACCCGGAGGAAATCCACGCAGACATGGGGAATTGGATAGATATTTGAAAGGATGACATTTGTCGAGCTCTGGGAAGTGAATGTGTGCAATGTGGCTTAAATGAGTGAGATGCATCCAGCTGATTATTACACCCAGGACCTTGCACTCCCCATCACCTCAACTGCCAGTGCACACCCCGAGGCCAGAGGTGAATGAATGATGGAGACGAGGCTCCTGTTTTGGCTGTTCAGTACGGAGGAGTATCTGCAAACTCCATCAGCAGGCTATGTCACCACAGACTGCTCTCCGAGCTAACAGCCTGCTTTGTTTCTTATGCTTCTAACTGAGGCCTTTGCCAGCAAGAGTGATGTAGCCAGGCACTGGTGGGACATTGCTCACTGTGACTGCCTTCCTGAGAGGACAAAGACAAGGACTTGATTGGCATAGGTTCCAGTGGATGGGAGCATCGATTGTGCCATCTCCATGCCATGACACCTTGGCATTGTGGCCGCTGTGCCATTATGTTTCCAGTGAGGGGTAACACCAAACTGCAAACGTCTGCCCGAGCACATAGCGGCCTTTCTAAGGTGGCACAGGGATGCTGGTCTTTAAGGGGATATGCAGTGAGAGGGAAGTTGTTCCAGGAACTGTGGCTGGTAGAATGGGGCAAGAGGGGCACCATAGGGGCAGGGGAGGTAGTTTATGGGGTGAGTTTGATAAGATCCAGCACTCTGCACTCCCCCATCACCTCAACTGCCACTGCACACCCCGAGGCCAGAGATGAATGAATGATGGAGACGAGGCTCCTGTTTTGGGGTTCAGTATGCTGAGTCAAACTCTGTAACAGCTGTGTAAATGCACCAATATCCCAAAAACTGCAGCGGTTTAAGAAAACAGCTCACCATCTCCAGAGTAAAGAAAGATAGCTAATGATTGATGACCCAGCCAGTGATGCCCATATCCTGTGAGTTTACGTTTTAAAAACACAAGATGGGAATGGTTCTGTTTTTTAAGAACAAATTGCATCTGACAGGTCAGTAAAGAATTGCTGATTGACTGTGGGGTTCAACCCGGTAGCTGAGGAGAGGTTGTTTAAGGTTGTTTTGGAAAGGCAGCTTGACTAATGCAAACAACACTCCAATTGCTTATACAGTGCTTCCCCCTCCTGGTTGCAGTGTGCTGTGTAATGCTGCAGGTTTCAGTTTGTGAGGCTCAGACTGACAGTATAACTCCCTGACACTATCAGTGTAACTCGCTTAGCCTGACAGTATAACTCCCTCAGACTGACAATATAACACTGTCAGACTGATAGTATAACTCCATGAGACAGACAGTATAACTCCCTCAGACTGGTAGCGTAACCTCCTCAGACTGATAGCGTAGCTCCCTTGGACTGGGAGGTTAACTCCCTCAGACTGATAATGTAACTCCCTCAGATCGACAGCGTAACCCCCACAGTACAACTCCGAGACTAACAGCATATCACCTCAAACTGACAGTGTAACCCCCTCAGACTGGCAGTGTAACACCCTATCATAGGAAACATATTATTGAGCTGCAGAGGGTTCAGAAGAGATTTACCAGGAAGTTGCCAGGCTTGGAAGGTTGGAGTTACAATCAGAGGCTGGATACAACAAGGTGCAGGGCTGGATGAACACAGCAGGCCAAGCAGCATCAGAGGAGCAGGAAAGCTGACGTTTCGGGCCTAGACCCTTCATCAGAAATGGGGCAGGGGAAGGGGGTTCTGAAATAAACAGGGAGAGAGGGGGAGGCGGATAGAAGATGGATAGAGGAGAGGATAGGTGGACAGGAAACAGACAGGTCGAAGAGGCGGGGATGGAGCCAGTAAAGGCGAGTGTAGGTGGGGAGTTAGGGAGGGGATAGGTCAGTCCAGGGAGGACGGACAGGTCAAGGGGGCGGGATGAGGTTAGTCGGTAGGAGATGGGGGTGCAGCTTGAGGTGGCAGGAGGGGATAGGTGGGAGGAAGGACAGGTTAGGGAGGCGGGTACGAGCTGGGCTGGTTTTGGGATGCGGTAGGGGGAGGGGAGATTTTGAAGCTTGTGAAATCCACATTGATACCATTGGGCTGCAGGGTTCCCAAGCGGAATATGAGTTGCTGTTCCTGCAACCTTCGGGTGGCATCGTTTTGGCAGCACCGCAGGCTGGAAGTTTTTTTTAAACTGGAGCGTGGGAGGTTAAGAGCTGATCTTATCGAGATTTATAAAATAATGAGGGGTATAGATAAGGTTAATGGCAGGTGTCTTTTCCCTAGGTTGGGGGATTTCGAGACTAGGTGACATAGTTTTAAGGGGAGCGGACAAAGATTTTAAAAAGACATGAGGGGCAATTCTATTTTTACACAGGGTGGTTCATGTGTGGAATGAACTTCCAGAGGAAGTGGAGGATGTGAGCACAGTTACAATGTTTAAAAGATATTTGGATAAATACATGAATAGGAAAGTTTTGGAGGGATATGGGCCAAGTACAGGCAGGTGGGGTTAGCTTAGTTTGGCACATGGTCAGCATGGACTAGTTGGACTGTAGGCTCTGGTTCAGTGTTGTATGACTCTATGACTCGGACACCCTCAGGCTGACAGTATAACTTCCTCAGACTGAGAATGTAACTCAACCAGACTGAATATAATCCTTCTGACTGAGTGTGAAACCCTCAGACTGACAGTATAACACCCTCAGACTGATGGAGTAACTCCTTCAGACTGACTGTGTAAAACTCTCAGACTGACAATATAGCTGACAGTTTTTTTTAAGAAGTTGCCATATTCCCAGAAGACTGTGCTCTCCTTAGAGAGAGACAGAGAGGGAGACGACTGGTGGTGGTTTAACCTGAGGGTCACCATATCTCAGGCGAAGGGGGTGGGTTGAGAAGAAGACTCCTTCATGGTAATCTCATACTATGCAGAAATAGAACCCACACTGTTAGCGTCACTCTGCATTGCAAACCAAGCATACCGCACACTGAGCTAACTAGTATATTATTCCATCAGAAAAACAAAGTAACTTGCTCGATGTTACTCCCAGGTGGTCACAGTCAGGATTACATGAAGATGGTCACAGTTGGTGTTACCCTGAGATGGTAATAATCACTGTTTCCATGGATGGTAACTGTCGCTGTTAACCTGTGATATTAATAGCCGGTATTACCCTATAATGGTCACAGTCGATCTTACCCTTCGATGGTAACTGTCAGTGTTGTTATGCAATGGTAACAATTGTGTTACCCAATGATGGTAACAGATGCTGTTTCACTGTTAAGGTAACAGTTGGCCCTGCGATGGTCAGAATCAGTGTTAACCCCTGCTATGGTTACAGTAGGTGTTATGCTACGATGGTCACAGGCACTGTTAAACTGTGGTGATCAAAGTCAAGTTGATCACAGCCAGTTTTTCACCACATGGTCACAGTCAGTGTTACCCTGCGATGGTAACAGTCAGTGTTACCCTGCGTGGTACCAGTTATGCTGTGATGGTAACAGACAGTATTACCCTGCAATGGTAACAGTCAGTGTTGCCCTGTGGTGGTACCAGTTATGCTGCGATGGTAACAGTCAGTGTTACCCTGTGGTGGTCACAGCTGGTGATTCCATGGGATGCTCAGAGTCGCTGTTACTCTGAGATGGTCAAGTTGTTGTCATCCTGTAATGGTATTTCCATCCTGGGAAAAAGACCGACGATTGAGCCTATCCATGCCTTTCATAATTTTATATACTTCTATCAGGTCACCCCTCAGTCTCCAAAGCTCTACAGAAAACAACCAAGTTTGTTCAATCTCTCCTTATAGCCAATACACTCCAACTTAGACAACACCATGGTGAACCTCTTTTGCACCCTTTCCAAAGTCTCCACATCCTTCCTATATTGGGGTCACCAAAAATGCAGTATTCCAAATGTGGCCTAACTAAAGTTTTATACAGCTGCAACATGACTTGCCAACATTTGTACCAATGAAGGCATCTTGTCATGCACCTTCTTTTACCACCTTATCCACCTGTGTTGCCACTTTCAGGGAGCTAGGAACTTGCACCCCAGCATCTCTCTGTGTATCAATGCCCCTTAGGGTCCTATCATTGACTGTAATGTTTCTTCTTGTATTTGACCTCCCAAAATGCATCATCTCGCAGCTGTCCGAATTAAACTCCATCTGCCATTTCTCCGCCCAACTTTCCAGCTGATCCACATCCTGCTGTGTTCTTTGACAACATTCCTCACTATCCACAAATCCTTCAATTTTTGTGTCGTCTGCAAACCTACTAATCAGTCCACCTACAATTTCATCCAAATCATTTGTATAAATTACACACAACAGAAGTCCCAGCACTGAACCTTGCACAGCACCATTGGTCACAGACCTCCAGTCAGAAACATCCCTCTACAACCCCGTTCTGTCTTCTACGACCAAGCCAATTTTTGTATCCAATTTATCTACTCACCATGAATTCCAAACGATTTGATCTTCTGGATCTGACAATCTGTGTTACTGTGTGAGGGGGTGATAGCACAAGCAGTATGGTGGCTCAGTGGTTAGCACTGCTGCCTCACAGCACCAGGGACCTGGGTTCAATTCCAGCCTCAGACGACTGGAGTGTGGAGTTTGCACGTTCTCCCTGCGTCTGTGTGGATTTCCTCCCACAGTCTAAAGATATGCAGGTTCGGTGGATTGGTCATACTAAATTGCCCACAGTGTCTAGGGGTATGTGGATTGGCCATGGGAAATGCAGGGTTTTAGGGACGGGGTGGGGGCATGGCTCTGGGTAGGATGCTCCTCTTCGGAGGGTAAATGCAGACTCGATGGGCTGGATGACATCTTTCTACACTGTAGGGATTCTTTGGTAACAGTTGGTGTTACCCTGCGATAGTAATCATCAGTACTACATTGTTGGTGTTGATGAGAAAATGATGAGTGTAGACAAATGCAGGTCCCCTACGGCCAGAAACAGGGAATGTTATAATGGAGAACAAAGAGGTGGCAGGCCAATTAAATATATACTTTGGTTCTGGCTGCACAGTGGAGGACACAAACAGCATCTCAAAAATGTTGAGGAACACAGGGTCTAGTGAGAGGGAGGAACTGAAAGAAATCCATAATTAGTGGAAAAATAGTGTTGGAAAATAGATGGAATTAGAGATGGATAAATCTCAAGGCCCAGTAATCCACATCCCAGAGTACTTAAGGAAGTGCTCAGTGGTTAGCACGGGGGCCCAGGTTCGATTCCACCCTCAGGCGACTGTCTGTGTGAGTTTGCACATTCTCCCTGTGTCTGCGTGGGTTTCCCATGGTCCAAAAATGCGCAGGCTAGGTGGATTGGCCATGCTAAATTACCCATAGTGTTGAGGGATGTGTAGTTTAGATGGGTTATAGGAGGATGGGTCTTGGTGGGATACTCCGAGGATCGGTGTGGACTTGTTGGGCCGAAGGGCCTGTTTCCACACTGGAGGGATTCTATGATCGAAGTGGGCCTAGGAATAGTGGATGCATTGGCAATCATCTTTCAAGATTCTATAGACTCTGAAACAGGTCCTATAGATGGGAGGGTAGCTATTGTAACCTCAGCTAAAGTAACATCAGGGAGGTGACATCGGTGAGGTAGGCTCAGTGGCGAAAGATTGCACGTGAAGATTGGCGACTTTAACGTTGGTTGGATCCAGTGGAGATGGTGATGGAGGAGCAATGGCAGTGCAGGCATCACTGAGTCATACAGCATGGAATTGATGGTGATAGGCTGGCTCAAAACGGATGGACTCTCTTTAAGCCATATCTTTTTTAAATTTATTCTTAAATTATTCAAAGCAGCGCTGAATTGTGGTGACAAATGAAAGCTTTTCACTGTATTTTATTGCATTCTTACTGTAAAATACATGTGACAAATACATCTCATTCATTCACTGTTTAAACAATGGAGGTAGAGATAAAACAGGGAATTATAGACCAGTTATTGACATCAGTAGTGGGGAGAGTGCTAAAGTCTATTATAAAAGATTGAATAGCAGAGCACTTGGGAAACAATGACAGGTTCAGGCAGAGTCAGCATGGATTTATAAAAGGGAAATCATGCTTGACAAATCTACTGGAAATTTTTGAGGATGTAACAAGTAGAATTGATGAGTGGATGTGGTTTACCTTCAGGAAGCTTTCGATAAGGTGCGATATGTAGGAAGTGGCAATCAGCCTACCTCATTTGCACTCCACTTCAAACAGGTTACAGCAGATCATCCACCTCAGTTCAGCTTTCATTCACTAACATTAGATCCCTCAGTTCAGAGTGTACAAAACACAATCAATGTCGATTCCAAATACGCTGACTGACTAGGCATTCACTGCTTTCTGTGGGTCAAGAATTCCAGACACTTGGAGTGAAAAGATTTTGCTTTGTTTCGGTAACAAATGACTATCTTCTTATCCTTGTATCAGAGATAGTAGGAACTGCAGATGCTGGAGTATCTGAGATAACAAGGTGTAGAACTGGATGAACACAGCAGGCCAAGCAGCATCATAGGAGCAGGAAGGCTGACGTTTCGGGCCTAGACCCTTCTTCAGAAAATAAT